AGATCCGCGGTTGCTCATTTGCAGCAGGCTATGCAATCTATCCGGAAATTCTTCGAGGTTATTCGCCGGGGATTCGTTCTGGAAAATATGTCACTTGTTTGGATTTTAATCAATTAAGCACTCGGATTGGTTTTTTAATTTACCGCCCCAAAATGGACTAATTTAAAAAAATTTTTTTTTTTGCATAAATGCACATTCCGTGGATACTGTAACATGTTTTCTGCATTTTCAGTGGTGTACGAAATACTTTTACCGTAATGGAGAAAAAAAAGGGGGAAATTTGTGCGTGCAGTAAAACGAATAAAGTTTAGCTTAAGAAAATAAATGTTTCGTTGATAATATTATTCTGCTATAATAACGACACTGTACTTAATTACAATTAAAAGTTATTTTGTGATACTTATTTTTCAGAAAAACAGTAAAAGGTGACGAAAGTGTCTTTTTCTCTTCTTTTCAATTATCTCCGGTTTAGTATCCCTCCGAGCATTTTATCAATATTTCTACAGATCTGTTTTAGATGTTGCACACTTTTTTCATACTCCACTCCAATTATTCCCATAAAAGCTCAGTCGGATTATAATTTCAATTTTCTGTAATGCCATTTTAATGTACAAGTATAATATTTGCATGGAGAAGCTTTTGTCCGAATAACGAATAGTGCTCGAAACTTTTCAGCGCCACTGTGCACTGTTACCGTTGAAAGCTGTAAACAATTTTATCAAAATTACCGAAAACCCTCTACAAACCGTATTAAATTACTCAATCGCCTGTCCTTCAATTTCACCCGAATCATCCAAAGAGGGAATCATCGAGTTGCACAATGGAGACTTCGGTGACTGCGAGCGTTGAACGATACTTGAGGGTAGTTAAAGATTCGTAACCGCACCCGGGGATACTCATTTGAATATTACCAACTATTTGTGGATTGCACCGAGCTAACTAGCAAAACTGTCGCGACAACTACACCTAAGTTCACTCAACTCTACCTTGACCTTCGAGAATTCTGAGTCACGAGTTGAGCAACTGAGAAACAACTGCAACCGTGAATCGTGCTAATCTCGTTTTAAACAACTGAAGCTATTGCAGTACCGTAATTTTGAGAAAACGTAGTTTCGAGAAAATGTGGCGACCACAGAGAGGAAAGGGGCGAAGAGAGACGAAAGCCAGGCCCAATAGAGGCCCAATAATAGCCAGGCTGGCTATAAAGTGTGGCGTGCAAGGGATGGAAAAATCGTCACTTTGCAGGCTTTTCGAAAGTTTTCCTGCACGCAAATGTTCATGCATGGCTCTAACACCGATCTCCCATATTAATGCAATCTAACGTCGATTGTACTGTTTTAGAGCGTAAGGAGGAATTACCCCGGGTGGTTCTCCAGGAATTTTCAGGCGGTGTGAACCAACAAAAATAGAAAGAGGATGGAAAGACGGTGTTGTTGGAAAAGTCGAGAAGAGTGGGTAGAAGTTGCGTGGGTCAAAGTGGCACGTTATTATAGTTATCTGTACATTTCTGTTAACCCTTTGGACTCTTTGAGGCGACTAAGAAGCGACACTATATTTACCATTAGAGACAACTCTGAGGATATGTTCCAAGACAGCACTACACGTTTAGAGATCTCAGCAGTGAAACAGTTTGAAAGAACCAACTTCTGATAAAAATATTAGTTTCAAAAAATTACATTAATCCTTTGTACTCCGAGCATTTGTTGATAGAATTAATCAGCAAATCTAGCATATTTATGTTTATTGTTTATGAATTTATTTATTTCTATTTCTCATTTTAATTTCCACTATTTCGATAATATAGAAAAACCTGAATTTCACTGTTTAAAGTTCTCCAAAGTAATTACGCGTGTCGCCATAATGGCGCCATTGGAGTGCAAAGGGTTCATTTTCGCTACTTCCTCATAGAAAAGAGGGCCTTCGAGTGCAAAGGGTTAATCTATTTATATTTCTAATTGCACACTATTCACGGTTAAATTCTCTGTAAAAAAAAAAAAAAGAAAAACGTGCAACATTTGTACATACATTTTGTCCAAATCACGTATAAACCAGTGGGAATATGGGAAACACATTAATTCGTCGGAGTCTAGCTCTTCGAGCGGAGGCTGAGCCGTTTCGTTTGTTTAAATCAATTCCGGGGGAAACGTGGAAATTCGATGAGCATATACACGTTTGTACGAATTAGATCCCGATTGATAATACTCCGTAGCGACTTGAATTTGTGAAATTGTCGATAGCTGAATCAGACTGATGGCCTCTCTCATTTTGCATGCACGCTTCTGCTATAGCGGGCACGACGTTGCACCGCAAATGGGTTTGTAGCACGTGAGAAATAACTACCGACCGAATAATTTCGTTGTCATCCGTTTAATAGTATCGCGCGGCTCATACGGCCGTTATAAAGTATCGCATTGTAGGCAAACTGTTTAGGCTACATTAAGCTTTATTTTCTTCTTCCATGAATCGCTGTTTCTACGCCGAGCGAAATTGCACGGGTAATTTGTGGAATTGCAAACTATTCGGGAAACCGCCGATATTATAATATAATTGCTCGTCGATGCGAAATTTGGTATTTTAATTGTGTTAATTTGGTAAGAACGATGATAGATCGGCCTGTGTATCGAGTTTTACAGTCATTTTTTTCGGTAAGAGTGTAAAATCGCAGAAGAATTACTTGGCGTTGTTTAGTTTTTGCAGAAAAGAGAGAGGGAATTCTGACACGAAGGTGTGATCTCGAATTAAATAGAAGGTAGTGGATTCGAAGTTAATTTAACTTTTACTTATTTAACTTCTGTGAAAGAATAATGTACTTACGAAGCCCTATTGTGCGCGGCATTTTTCCCCGTAAAAGGTCATTTAGGGAGAAACGAGCGACGGATGCTTTGAAGAAATATGTTATCGATCATCCTACCTCTTCTAATCGCGTTATTTTTAATTTCATTCCGGTAACTACTCGGCTAATTAAAATATCAGCTTTGCGAAAAATTCCTCGCCGAAAGGTGGGTGACATGGTTAAATTGCGAGATTGAAAGAAAATCGCGGATATTTTGCAGCGAATCTATTTCTGAAAATCACCCGAATTCTCCTATGCTTCCTGGAAAATTGAAAATTGAGCGGAAAATGAAACCACGCGTGACACTTTTTAAAAAAGTTTCTTTAATAAAACACTTATGTACCTTTGTTTACGTGACATCTTCGTTCTATAGTGAGCCATAAAGCATGCTGGTGAAAGCTATATACGGGAAACCGTAAGACACCAGGTGTACCATAAAATTCAGTGCAAGAAAATCAAATTAAGAAAATCGTAAAAGGACGCGCTGAAGCTCTCGTGAAAAGCGCACAATCAACTGTTCTATGCAAAATTGCAAATATCCAATAACACACCATTGCAAAAAATTATCCAATTGTGTGAAATCTATCGGTAACATTTTCTCCGCATAAATTCGTCTCCTAAAATTCGTCTATTAAGAAAAATAATTTTGTCGTGTAGACTCGTAATTTGAACAGTTTCGAATATCCGTCATTTGAAATGAGCAATTTCTTGGGAGAGAACACGAGTCGACGAGGCAGAAAAATCTAAAGCTTGACGATGCCTGCAAGAGCAGATTCACAGAACTTTGGAAGGGAACGTCTTCGTCATGAAAGCGGGATTCCTGATTTAACGTTCCACGAATTGGCCCTGGTTTATTGCTGAACAGGATGTGGATGAAAATCTTTTGCTTCTCCACTTGGCAATATTATTTTCCAACTGGAAGATTCACTGATCTCCTTAAGCGTATTTCCATTTACTTCTGGTACTTTCAGCCGTGGGTTTCGTAGTGCTCCTCGAGTACCAGCACTAACATGAACTGACCCACCGAGCATTTTTGTGAAAGGCTGTTTAGTAGGTGGAATTTTTGCCTCTGCTCCAGAGAAAAGATTCGCCTACTTCGAATAATTGAATCTGTACAGAGTTACCTTTCGAAGCAATATTTCCAAATTAATACTGCACGTCTATTTTCCAATTGTAATTTGAAAATAAATATCGCACGTCGATTAATTTACTTTGCATTAATAGTAATTAATAATAGCGCAGAAAAGAAATTTACGATATGAAAATTACAAATTTCTTTAAAAATTTCAAGCTTCAGTTTTCACATAAGTAATCAAGTTTCCAAATTGGTTTACAGGCTGACGAATTAATTACTACGTAACAATTTCTACGCGCTGTATACGTGATCCTAGCCAAAATCTCGAAAATCCACGTGATTGTATTTGCCGATAACAACGTGAAACAACGTTTCCGCCTGCTGTAACATATGTATTGTGTCACCAGCTAGATACACGAAATAACTGGACAGTAATAATGGGAACCGCAGAATTGAAACTGAGCGCAAATATCTTATAAACGTGATTAATGAGAATTTAATACCGTTCCCAGCTAATTCTATCTCTAACCGCTCGCTCAATTCGTACGAAAAAATATCACCAAACAGACAACTGACACCGTTATCCAACACAACTGCACAACAAACTCTCTCGCTCTCTCTGCACACTATACAAAATTGTCAGAAGAAAAAAGAAAAAAAACGTAAAAATAATACAAAGGAGACATACAGGTAGGGGGTTCGATTTAAACGTAAAGAACACAGGTGCGCGCACTGTTAATCAGCAATAATAAATCACACGTTTAACACGGAAAAATGCACTGGCAGGCGTAATTCACACTTGGCGGCGATCTGAAAATTTGCCCGTAGAGGATCGCGAAAAGGCAGGCGGCGCAGAGAGGTGGACCCTGGAAGGTGGTGATCGAACAATGGTGACAGGCAACGCGTAACTCGTTAAACTTGATACCGCGGCTACGATACACGTGCAGAGGAAGAAGTGGCGAGAGCAAGCGAACGCGTAGATAGGTTGTGTATCGGTGGCGCAAAAATTTTCCCGTTTCAACATTTACCGCCACTGGCAGTGCTCGACTGCGCCTGACATAGATTCTTAATAAGCGTGTGGATCCCACTCACCGGAACTGGTGGAGTTATCGGACCAAACACTTGCTGCGAACGCCGTGAGTAGGAAAATCGTGATAAGGAACCGCTCGCGGCTCCCGATGCTCCCTAGGACACGTTTCACACGTTCACTGATCATCACGGTACAATTTCGACGAGAGGATACGCGACCGGCATCCCGACTGAGGGTACGGGAGCCCCAAGAGCGTGTTTCTCTTTCCCCACTCCCTTCGTGCTTGCTTTCTCTCCACTCTGTTCTATCCTCCCTACCACGCTTCCTTTCCCGCCACGCGCAGACGCCCCAACGTTCCGGGCTTTCTAACTCTTGAGCTCACCCCTACTCTCTCTCCCCTCTTCCTCCCTTCCCAGCTACTCCTTCTACAGCCCTTCCAACAACCACCTTCTTAATCTCACTCACTTATCTCTTATCAATAGGTGACGATTAATTATCGCTATACCTTCCTGAGTTCGAGCCAACGCTTCTCGCTTTCCTCGTTAACCGATAGAGAAGCACCTGTGGAACGTTCTTTTCACCGTCTTCCGGCGTCGTATCTTACGGTGGAAATCTCAAACGAAATATCGAACAGCATTCTCACCTGGGTGGGAAACTAGTCCTTAGCTGTGGATTGTCGCACGATTGTCGTGGAAATTTTGCTTCGACTCTTTCGTCACTGATGGCGCTTATGGAGGCTAGCCCTTAGCGATTGACGCCTATAGGCGTTTCGAAAATTTTCTCGCACTGTACTCTTGGGAGCCTAAACCTTCCTAAACTCGGGGAATTTTTCAGTGCACGGTGAATCACGTCGGTCTCTCGCAACCGATTTTTAAACGATCGGAATATGGAATTTATACCGTACAGTTTCGTGTAATTCATTACATGGATTTCGACTCGGAAGGTTAATTTTATCCTTCACAGACTTCTACGTTGATTTAATAAACTGAATTTTAAAACGATGCGGCTAAAATAAGAAATTTTTCAGCCATGGTTACACACACGTTACGTATTAAAGTCTTCCGTAGTTAGAGGGTTAAGAAGCGTGGCGTTATTGTTATTTCAGCGAAGTATCGATAATTCCCACCCTTTCGAGATAAATGGCAATTACCAAGCGCAAGTTGAAGAGGTTCCAGTCTTGACATTTCCATCTGTACTTCTGTGTTACCGTCTCTAAAATGTGTCTCGCAACTCGTTGAATCTGAAACAGGTAAATAAGTTAAGAGAGCATTTCGTGATTATCGTTGAATCCTTCATTCGCACGGGTTAAACTTCGTTGAAGTACATTTGCTCTCCCGGCTAAGCTTTTCTTATTTTCCTCGGTTACGAATTAAAACTGCATCGTACATAAACGCGACACACTTTGTCCGTGGGAGGTCCGTTAAGCGTGGAATATTTCCGACAATTTGCGGAATATTCATCGGGTGACAAGAACTGCGGATTATTGAATCAACGGAGGTGCCAGCGAACACTTAATAACTAAGATTAGGGGTGATCGAGGCCTCGTCTATTGTGATTACGATGGACGTCAAGCGATATTAATCATCTACCACCTGAACTGAATAGACCTGTGAACGTGAAACGATCGGTATTATATCGAACACACGCGTTAAATAATCGTGTGCGTATGAAAATTGATAAATTGTCGAATTTAAAGGAAATTGGTTGAATTTATATTTATACGTCACACTGTACACAGCTCTATCGAACGTTTACTATTTGCGACACTGGAGAATAACGTGTAAAGACGCTCGTAATCTGTGTTTCCACGCCTACATGCAGCCAGATCCTCACAAGTGAATAATGATCGTGGAGAAACGCGGATTACAGAAACGTGTGGCATATGGAGGAACGGCGTGCGGAGGATGTTCTTGTAGATCCCTACACTGGAAGGCGTGTCTGAGAGACTCGAAGGCGCCAGAAGACACACTGCTATTGTAGCTTCCAACTTCTGACGATGCTGGTCCCCCCTTCTTCTTCCTCTTCTTCTTCTTCTCTTTCGCTTCCTTTCCTCCTTGCCTCCTGCTGCAGCCAACACTGTCACGATTCTCCTCACATCTTCTCCTCTCCCTCTCTTCCTGCGTTCACGCATCCCTTGCCACAGGACTATCGCCTGCAAGTATCATGCCAACCTCTCGAATCCTTCTTCCTTTTCCTTCGATTCTCTAGCCAATCGACCATGGCCAGACCTACGATCTATTCCTAAATACTTTGCATTCTTTCACGAACATTCCAATTATCCTTCTTCTGTACCTTCAACTCTCTCTGTATTCTTGGAACAGAAAGGAACGACACTCGTGCACACGTCGATAAATATGTAGTAAAAGTGAGGAAAATTGGAAGAATATGAGATAGCGAATGCAGTAAAAATGTGAACTATCGACGAAGTGGTTAAGCACATAATGCGTCAAATGTAGAAACACTCTCTCGGTTGTAATGGCCAATACAGCAAACGATTACCGAGATAAAATAGAGCCTGGAGGGTTACGAGGAGGCAAAACTCATTTCAAGACGAGCAGTATCTGTATCAGTTTGAAGTTTGCCCCGTCGAGTTGCTGTTCCTCGCAAGATAATAAAGCAATTTCGTTCAAATAGGCTGTAGAATCGTTCACTTTGCACCGATGATCAAACGGACACAGCTTCGACATGTCCTACTTTCTTTTCACTTACACTTAATAAATCTCGAATGAAAAATCAAATTTTACTTTCTTCGAAAAGCGACGTACGAGAAAGCGCGCAATTTCGTGACACTTGTTGGCGCTTAAAGGAGACGTAATCTTCGTAAATTGATCGTTTTAATAGTTTAATTTCCATTCGAGTGGGAACACTTTAGAAGAACACGCGGAGAGATCTTTGCTATAGCAAACAGGGATGCCAGGGACATGACGCTTGGCTACTTCGAAAGCAACAACCGATGCTCTCTAGCGAGGACGCAACGGCAGATATGGTGCCGATGTGTTTAGGAACACAGCACAAGGTACGCTCCGCTTCTGTCTCTTGCATGGCCACAAAGTTACATCTCGCAAATTGTGTTTGTCAACAACGGCTAATTGCCTCTGGAAATGTTACTTAACTATGAAGAGACTCATAATTAGGCCGATGGAATCCCACGAAACACGATTATTTCCCCGACGTAAATATAAGAGCGAAATCGTTATCGATTCTAGAAATCGCGGTTCTAAACTTTACGCTAAGATCTGAAAATTCGAATAACGAAGCTAGAATATCAGGCTGGTTCGTTGCGTTTCATAAATGTCTCCCGAGAATCGCTTCTTAGCCTGTATCTTAAGATTTAAGTAGTGCTAGTCAATAGATAAGGAGGCATAGTCCAGTTTTTCGAAACTTTGCGCCTGTGATTGGCACGACTCGGTTAAAAATATTGGAAATACAGATAAAACATTGTTTCCTTTATAGAAACTTATCATTTATCGAGAAAATATAGTACAAAGATACCGACAATACGTATAAGTAGAGCAATTTCCATTCTTCTTAACCAATGTCTTAAGATTTAAATAGTACAAGTCAACAATGCAGGAGCCATATGCCAGTTTTCCGAAATTTTGCACCTGTGATTGGTAGAACTCAGTTAAAAATGTCGAAAATACAAATAAATAAATAAATAAAACAATACAAAGCTGTGTGTATAAGTAGAATAACCTAATTTCGAATCTTCTTAACCAGTCTTAAGATTCAAGTAGTACAAGTCAATGCTTAACGAGAAACATTCCAGTTTTTCGAAACTTTGCACCTGTGATTGGTAGAACTCAGTTAAAAATGTCAAAAATAGAGAAAAAACGTTGTTTCTGACAGCTACTCGCATAAGTAAACCAATTTCCAATCTCGTCGTCCAAGATCCGGCGATATGAACACCTACATTCCTAGCCGAAATTTCCGATCAATCGAGGGGTTTCTAAATGCATAGCAGATCGTTAATAAGGATCAAGCTAGTCGACAGCAGATGACTCCTGTAACTCCCTATAAACATGGAAGCGATAATCCTGATTCTGGGAACGCACTTCTCCCGCAGTATAGACGCGATCCAGCGGTTAAGTTGAGTGGGTGACATAACAAGGTTATCAAGGAATGCAGGGACAGGCTTTCAACAGAATACAGCTTATACCGGCACTAATCTAATCTTCCTTCCACTCTTCCTCTTCCTTCCACACATCACTGCTTCCCATCCTGTCCAACTCCTGTCCCTTCTACCTCTCTGTTTCCACCGGCCTTTCTGCATCCGCAGCTTCCTACATACCTGCCATTGCCGGACGTTCACCTGACCTATCATACTATTAGCCCAAATTACAGCTCTCTTATTCTCCCAAAAAGACGACAGACGTACTCCCACGCATGCACGTGGCGTTAAAAACAATCCCGTCTTCTTCGTGCTTTCACGTATTAAAAAAATTAATTCTTGGTAAATTAACGTAACTGTGAACGTAATATTGGGTTGGAACAAAAGTTCCTAGCGTTTTTCAAGTGAAATTCAAAAAATTCGATAATGTGCCATTTTGTTCCACTATCTATCGACACCTTCGTGGCAGTTTCCTGACTCGAGCGTGACATTTTTCTGGGTGGTTCGACAAACGCCTGGAACGTTTTCACAGTTACCTTAGCTTCCCAAGAATTAATTTGTTTAGTATGTGTAACGCGAATTTCAGCGACGTCAATATTAAAACAGATCGCGAAGCGTTCGCAGGGAGGAATAGAGGATTGGCGGGAACCGGGGCGGGAGGGAGAGTTTTGCAAGAAGAAAGTTCGTTTTTGAAATATGCCTGAATAGCTGTCAGTGCTATTTCGCAAACGAGGAGTCATTTAAACGCTTATGAGCACTTGACGCTGATAGGAAAGTCAAATGCACTGTCCCCCCCCGCCCCTCCATCTCCTATCACCCTCACGTTCCTTCTCTATTCTGCTTCGTCGACTGCCGCTCCTTTCTCGTGTACGAAACGCTTCAACGAATCGCTGCACGCGCTTTTGATGATGTCAAACTTCTTCCTTCCTTTGTACAGAAAACTCCCGACGCATTTTTACCATTTTTATTTATCGTTAACGTTAATTCCCGAATTTGACAATACACCGTTACACGTTACACACTCCTCGTCGAACAGAAATCTTTCACACGTTTTACAAACCAATCAACCATTTAC